TCTTGGCCAAGTGTTCAAAGTACATAGGAAGCCTCAAAATCCTAGCTTTCAAGGGGAGACTTGGTTTCTCTCTCTCTCAAAGATAGGCCTATATTTTTTCTTGGCAGTCCATGGTATGTTCAGGACTCTTCTCCAGCACCACATCTCAAAGGCATCAATCCTTTTTCTGTCATCTTTAGTCATTGTCTAACTCTCTGAAGAATAAAAATAATTGTCAAGACCATGGCCTGGATTTAGTGCACCTTAGTCTCTAGACTGATATTGTTGCTTTTCAGCACTTTGAAGAGATCCCTGACTGCAGATATTCCAAATGCAGTTTGTCTTTTGATTTCCTGACTGTTGGTATTAAGAGACATAATTGTGAAGCTAATAAGGCTATAATTGTTAACAACCTCAGTTTATTCTCCATCTATAATAATGCTGCCAATTGGCTCACTGGTGAGAATCTTTTTCTTCTTGATGTTAAGCTTCAATCCATATTGAATATGGCAGTCCTTGACCTTCTGCAACAAGCACTTCAGGTCCTCTTCAGTTTCAGCAAGCAAGGTTGTGTCGGCTGAATATCGTAGTTGTTGATGAGTATTCTTCCATTCATGATGCCACACTCCTCTTCATAAAGCCCTGCTTCCCAAATGATCTGTTCTGCATATAAATTGAAAACATATGGGGACAGGATGCATCCCTGATACACTCTTTTTCTGATTTTGAACCACACAGTGTTTCCTTGCTCTGTTCTAAGGACTGCTTCCTGGTACAGGCTTCAAATAAGCACAATCAAGATCCAAGATTAGCCACAATCTGTTGTTATCCACATAGTCAAATGCCTTTGCATGTCAATGAAACACAAATAGAAGTTTTTCTGGTACTTTCTGCTTTCTGCCAAGATCCATCTGACATTGGTAATAATGTCCCTAGTGTCACAAACTATTCTAATCTCAGATTGTATTACTGGTAGTTCCCTGTCAATGTACTGTTCCGTTAATTCTTGGTTAATCTTCAACAGGATTTTGCTAGTGTGTGTCGTTAGTAATATTGTTCAATAATTTCCACATTCTGTTGGGTCTTTTTTTTTTTTAATTTTTTGAATGGGAATAAATATGGATCTCTTCCAATCATGTCGCCAAGTTTTTGTCCTCCAGATTCCACATAGGTACAGGCCAAAAATTGCATCATAGGATACATTTATACTGTTGGACAAACATTTCATTTCCATGTGAGTGTCACCCTTCTCACAGTGCCACTCAGTACAGTACATGCTAATTTATTGCCTATGAAAGCCCTACAGTGAAGCCATCAGGCTGGGGGGATGGATAGAGTGACCACTGAAGTTTAAAACTTATTCAATAAATATTTTTCAAAAATAGTTATGTCTTTCACTCATAAAGATGCTTTTCCAATTTAGAAGTCTTCATATTATGAACTGCTTGTTCTCTGCCTCCTTACATTCACTTTCCTTGTGTGTAGCATTCAGACTTCTTACTAATGCCATGACAGTAGTAAAGGAATATACATTTTATATAATCATAAAATTAAAATTTTATATTACTGTCACTTCTTACATTTTCTAAGAGTCACAGTCTTTGAAGGAGAAAAATCCCTAAAATAATAACATGATCCGCAACTTCACACAGTCACACTGAGCAATGACTCTCTCACAGGTGGGATGGCAAATCCTCAAGTCCCAAGACAGATGAGTAGTGACACCGATCCTGCCCCAGCAACATTCCTGTGTTTGCTGGAATAGCTCAACATTTAGACTCATCTAAGACATCTTTTCTGTTTAGAAGTTGTAAGGATTTTTTGGCATTTATTACCATTAAAATAATTGGAATAATAAAATGTGAAATCATAAAAGTGAACTAGTTACATTTTCTGTATTTCTTCTCTTCAACCATCTCTCAGGCTCTACGTTGATGTTTGCATGCATCCAATCTTTATGATTTCCCTATTTTCAGTCCCCCGGTATGGGAGCAATATATAGTGAGAATTTAAGCCTTAATATATCTCAGGATGCCCTTCTATCATTTTCTGGCTGACCAGTTTCTACTTTAAAGGCCTACGGCTCTTTTCTTTACTTTTGGAAGAACAACCCCTAATAAGATATGATCTGCAATGTTAGCAGTCTCACATACTCCCATTGATAGATGACTCTCTCACAAGGCGACTGACAGATTCTAAGGCTTTAAAACAGATGACTAGTAGGTTTGAGACCTTGAACACTAATGAGTGAAGACCAGATGAGTTGTGCGAGGATGTTAAATGTATCATCGAGGAAGAGTGCAAACGGTCATTACAAAGACAGAAGAGGAAGAAAAAAAGCAAAATGGATGTCAGAAGGAACTCTGAAGATTGCACTGGAACGTAGAGAAGCCAAAGCGCAAGGAAGGATTCAAGACACTAAAGAGCTGAACAGAAGATTCCAAAACACAGCACAGAATGACAAAGCAAAATATTACAATGAAATGTGCAAGGAGCTAGAGTCAGAAAATCAAAAGGGCAGAACTCGTTCAGCATTTCTTAAACTCAAGGAACTGAAGAACAAATTCAAACCTAGAGTTGCTATAATCAAGGATGCTTTAGGCAGAATGTTAAATGATCCAGGAGGTATTAAAAGAAAATGGAAGGAACATACTGAGTCATTGTATCAAAAGGAATTGGCAGAT